TGCCTCCTCGCAGGGTGTGGGGAGAGGGCGAGCGGAGTAAACTCCCGGTGGCATTGTTTTCAGAGGAAGCGCTCAGTGTAAATAGAGCATGTGGGAGAGTTTGTCCTGGGCAGAGATGAAAAGTCCGTGTGACAGGCTCAGGTTATAAACGGCTTCCTCAGATTGATGTGAAATCAAAACATTTCTATTTAGACGGAGAAAATGAAGGGGGATGTTTACTTAGCCTGGAATCTTTAAACAGTGTGATGGAGACGCAGGGCGATTTGGGGTGGGGAGCTTGGCCTGGGGGGGAGGGAGCCTCTGCCCGGCTTTGGGGATCCCTCCCTGCCTGGCAGCCCCAACCTTGGGCAGATTATGGGGGTCCCTCACTGAGCAGCTCAGTTCCTTTCCCTCAGCCCAAGTGAATGAAACACGGATGCTCTGGTCCCCTCTGGCCCGATGGCCATCGTCAGCGCTCCTTCGTAAGGACAGTTTCCCTTCTGCTGGAGAAATTGGCAGGCTAAAAGAGGGGAACAGAAATGTTGATATAGGTGATGTCCCTCCCATTCCATAGACAAGGAAATAAGGCAATGGGAAGATAAAGTGATGTGCCCAGGCTTGTGGGAAGGTGGTTGCAAGGCTGGCAGAAGCAGCTGAGAGTTCTGAGTTCCTGCGGTCGTACGTGTAGAGGTGGGATGGAGATACAGGAGAGCCCTGGTACTCAGGCCCCGTCTCAGGGAGGTCTCTGGGAGGGTTAGTTTTATAGATAGGGAAAAGGTACATTTTCAGAACTTGCTTTATTTCTAGCTTAAACTTTAGGAAAAGATTCTCAAAATGTTAAGAGGGTAGCATTGCTGTGCTCAAAGAAAATCCCAAACACAAGAAGGGAAGGGCAGGAGCTGGGGGCAGAAGCTGGGCAGGCAGAGGCGCAATGCCAGGGTGTGTGAGATGGAAGGAGGCAGGAACAGGAGTGGCAGACGAGTTGCAGGCTCCCTGCAACTGCCGCGCACACGGCAAGTGCAGCCTCGGGAACGTCTGTTCCTCTCTTCCTTTGAATAAATATTTATGTATTCATTTGCCGGCTGGTGCACGCACTTGGCTGCTCACCTCCAGACCAGAATAATGGGACCTGCCCTCCTCGCGGAGCAGAGGGAGGGCAGCGGGGATTCGGGTTGCCGCGTGTCTGCCTCCCAGTTATCTCCAGCGGCAAGCGGCGCTGATCTCACCCGTTAAGCAGGGCTGGGTATCGTGAGAAGGTGGACGGGGAATCACCGGGCAGCGTTGGTGATTCAGTGCTGACCCAGTGCCCCGGCCGCGGGCAGGCACCGCACTGTGCCGGAGGCACCGTCCCACCACCTGCAGCCATCGAGGCTGGTGCCGT